TACCCTCACTGGCAACCCTTCCCTAACAAACAGCCCCATTAACTAGAACAAGATGCACGAACAAGGAATTCTCACGACAGGGTTTGCAAAATTGACTGTTAATTAAAAAAAAAATCCTCATCTCATGTACTGAACACAAGTTTCAAGCAGAGTCCGTTTCCCTAACCCTGCCTCTTTTACTGACGCGTTAGCTCAGAGCAAAATTCCATTGCCAAGGTAGAGACAACCTGGAAAATGCAATGAATTTACAATGCAAATGCTGATGGAATTAATTTGAATAGCGTAAAAAGTCATGGCTGCTCATTCTAATATTAGCACCCACTTCTATTTAATGTGTTCTTAATTATAAGCATTTTTCATTTCTTCCTTAAAAAAAAAAACCTCTGTGCGTCTCTTTTTAGGTTTGCCCAGTGATACTACCTCTCTCCTTTCTCGTGTTGAATGAATACTTCCAGGAGAATATTCCCCGTCACACTCCCCCCAGACCTCCCTCTTCAACCCTTCCCCAACTGATTCCATTGGATTCAGCAGTTTATCATCATAACATCAAATTCTGCCGCTGCTGATGTTCAGGTTGTACCAGAACATCCGATTTAACACACAAATCAGGAACAAAACCGTTGAGGCTGCGTGGACGGAGCACAACAGATGGACAGTGACTTGCTGCTCTCGCTGTGAAGACTTGGAAGCTAATAATAATCGTAAACATCCCTTTTCATCTTGTTCTAATCCTAGTAATCTCCTTACCCTGCAGCCCAGATTGTTGCTTGCTTTGTGCACTGGGAGCACTCCTGACAGCCAGGCTATGCCGGGCAGGCTCAGGAATGCCGGGCTCTGCTCTTGGGGAGACGTGCTTTCTTCTTTGCAAAGGGGCTGGGCTGTCCAACCCCCAAAATGGGCCATTAAGCTTTATTAGGGATTTAGAACCAATTAAAAAGTTTCCCCCCACAGCCAAGGAGAGGTCCGGGTGGGCTCTGACGGTAGAATTACAGCAAAGAAAGCAGCAGAATAAGCCCAGAAGAAAACACAGCATTTGGGTCACAATAGCAGAATGGGAAGCAACAGAGCAGCCTCCTGTTCTGCCCCAAGCTCTGACATGGGGTCGCTTTGTGAATGTCATTGTTGCTAACGCCCCTGACTTTAGGCATTTTACATGAGCCCTCTGCTCCTGGAATCAGGTCGTTAGTAAAATCTCCCAGCTTTCATACATAAAAGGTTGAAAGTTTTAGTCTTCAGAGTTGAAAATGTGGCCTGGCAAGAAATAACTGAATTTTTCTCTTTCCTTTTTAAATTCGAGGGGACTTGAAATGGTGCTTTTGGGACTCCTGGTGTGGGGAATACGAGAACGTGGGCAGGAGCAGCTGGGCGGTGAGTGCTTTTGAAAAATCTGGTCATTATTCCTCTCCAGGCTCAATTTGCAGAAACATTGAGCACTTCTCTTTCTAGCTGAACACAAAAAGGGGACTAAGCATTTTTTTAAATCAGGCCCTTTGCATATCCCCTTCTGGAAAAAATCCTCCCTGGTCATTTCCAAGCAAAATTAACTCATGGTTTCTAAGTGCTCTGGGATCCTTAGGTGAGAGGAGCTCTAGAAGCAATGGTAAGGAGTCAAATTCCCCTTCTCTCACCCTGGGGCAGCCCCAGTGACTTCAGGGTTAGTGTATGGCTGCAACAGTAAATTCTGCTTGTGAAGACGTCCCTGGGAAGATGGCCTGCACTCCATGCAGGAAGAGATTTGATAATAGAGGCCTCTTCAATCTAGCAGACAAAGCAATAACAAGATTGAATGGCTTGTAGTTGAAGCTCAGCAAATTCAGGCTCAAAATAAGGTGCAATTTTTGTAATGGTGAGGGTAATTTACCACTAGAACAGTCTGTCAAGGGCTGAGGTGGATTCTCCAGCACTGGGAAAACTTAAATCAGGACCGGGTGTTTTTCTAGGAAGGCGAGTCTCAGTTTGACGGGGCACTGGCTCAAGGGAGCCCCGGGCCTGCGGCATACAGGAGGTCACGGTAGCTACTGTTCCCTTGTGAGCTCCTAACCCATAAATTGCTACTCAGCGGGCTTCAGTGTTGCTGCTCCGAGCTAGGTGCGACTGATACCCCTGTTCCTAGTCTTGCTAGATTACCAGTCCCTGGCCGGACGGCAGCACCCAGCATTCCTCCGGGTCTCTAATACTTCCCCCAGAAGCTGCAATATTTTTTAAATCATTACCCAATCCAGGCGTGGGAGGGGCTCATCCGGTTTCTGACACACACACACTGGACATGATTCTGTCCTTCCTCCCACTGAATCAAGGGTGTTTTTTTGGAAACCTATAGACTTTGGACCTTCCCAGGAGATGCATGAACAAGACTGAGGGGGGTATTGATAGTTGAGCGTTAGCCATTTTAAAGAAAAAAGTTCCTTGTCCTTAAGCAAAAGCCTGTGCCCTCTGCTTGCTGCATGTGCACTGATCCCACTCATACAATAATACATCATAAAATCAATAAATAAGAGCAAGTCCAGACTTTGGCCTGATCACACCTTTATTCAAATCAGTAGGAGTTTTGCCATTGGCTTCAGTGGGAATAAGACAGGAGCCCTGGGAAGAAGAGGTCCCGGCCTTGCCTTGCCTTGCCCCTATCGCAAGCTGGGGACACCAAAAACGCTCCTTGATGCCATTTTTGCAAATTCCCTCTGCTCTGCAAAAGCCTCTAGGCCCAAGATTCCCGGGGGATGTGCCAGTTGCAGCAGACCTCCTGGCTTTTTCCATGGGCCATGAACCTTGTCCCGGCAAGATGACAATCCCCCGCAAAGGCATCCTTGTAGACGGTCCGTCCCTGCAAGCCTCTGTGAGCTTTTGAAGGGGAGGCTCGATTCCACTTGGGGCAGTGAATGATTTTTTGGGGCAGTGAATGCATGAGTTAAGCCCCACTGGTATTTACGGCGCTATGTGCGTGAATAATAATAATAATAATATAATCCAACAAACTTGTGGCCACCACAGCAGCAAATGCATTTTTGATTTGTGGCGTTCATTTTCAATTGGCTGGCTCCAAACCCAAGCTGTTTGCATACTGGTGCACAGCGGTCTCTGCCATCTCCTGTGGACAGGCCAGTGGAAGCACTCCATGAAAGGATGGGAACAGCCTGTCATGAACCGCCCTGTCCCATCCACCCCGCCCTGTCTGACCCACACCCCCATCACACCTGGAACCGACTGCCTGCAAACTAATTCCAGCTGTGCTGTCTGCGTGATCCCTAATCTGCTGAAGGCAGATTATTTTTGCTGCAGTGTATGCAGCAGCTGCCTGGGTATTTATAAAATCTATTACTTCTCCTACTAGCTGTATTTCCATTCCTCCTCCCTTCTCCCCACCATGTCTGCATGTGAAAATAAGAGAACAGCATGAGGGCACAAAACAAGGGAGAGGGGCTCATGAAAAGGGGAAAGCTCCCAGCTACAAGAGCTTTTAATTAATCAGATGTAAATTGAGACATGACTTCATGCAAGAGAGAAATTCTGTAGTGGGACTGCCAGCGTTGTCGAGTGCCGGTTCACATTTCTGAGGCCAGGAGTGAAGAGGGACTCAGAGGAAAGGACTGGAGAGAAAAAGATTGATATGGTTACCTCTCCACTTCCAGGATTTGATTCCACTGTCCATGGAGGGGATACACAGGCAATCAGCCACCTCACCCTGACAGGAAACTGCTTACTAATATCCAGCATTTTCATCACTTGGTTAATCATCATTAAGAGGGAGGAACTGAATTGCAAGTCTCCAAGGTCTCACAAGAAAGGCCATTCTGAAAGCGAGCTCAAGAATTTAGAAACGTCACGTGGCAGGCCCCAGGAAATTATGCAATCTGACTTCCACTCGTTCGCCTTGGAGCTTTCAAGATTGCACTCAAGTTATTATCAGCCTTTTCCCTGCAAGGCTAGAAACTTACTTTTCTCTTTCAAATCGAAGGTGCGATTCTCACAGAATTCACGTGCCTCCAGGCTTCACAGAAAGCATCAGATGTCGCACGGGTCTCCTTTACACCATGAAAATTGGCAATGGTGACTCAGGCACCAGTTAGTTTGCTACTTTAAGGAGCCCACACAGGGTCCCTAGATTATAACACAGAGAATCAAGTGCCTATTTAAAAAGCACAACAAACCAAGTGATGTTCAGGACCAGATGCACTCAAGTGCCTTCTGAAAGCCTGGAGGCAAATTTCACGCACAAGGTGTTTGCAACCAGAATCATGCAAAAATGCAACCAGTATGATCAAGGGCCTGGTTAGGCTCCTTGGCCCCTAGTTTTCTGGGTGTAACAGTAACGTGCCTGCAGAAACCCTAATGTTCATGCAGTGAATGTGTCTTTTGTGATCAGCCTGCCTTTCTACTGGGGCTGTTCTACCATTATTTGGGACATAGTCATGCTTTGAGCCCCAGTCACAGACCAGGACCCCCCCAGGGCTAGGAACAAAATGACAGTCCCTGCCCTGAAGAGTTTTTGATCTCACAGGGGGAAAAAATGTTACAGAGCAAGAGAATTTACTTCACCTTGGAAAAGTCTTGTGCCCTCTGCATTCACATGGGAGCCGAGTTTCTCCTGTCCTTCGCTGGAGAGTTAAATAGAGAGCTCCTGCAGGGAATGAAAATGGCAGATCTCACGAGGCCATTCACTGCTGGAGAAAAGGCAACGTTTGGCTATTGTATTTGATAAAGGGAGCTAATCACTGGAGCTTTCCTATACAACCAGCTGAAGTGCAGGCCAACACACAGGTATGCACATGTCTGGGGTTTTGTTTCAAGTCCTAACACTGTAGGGTTTTGGACAGGGACCCGCTATCCAGAAACCACGGTGGATAAGAAACAAGCCTCCCCCCTGTCCTCTGGGGCTGACGTTGCCGTGTATGTAAACCAGTGCATATTATTTTCCCCCCTCGGGAGACTGGAGGACTGGTTGGCTCATGGCTTTGAAGCTGCTCTGGGTCAGTGGTTCAGACCGGCAAAAGCAATGGCTTTTCTTTGCAGGTTTGGGTCAAATGAATGGGGCGGATCATGCCTCACGGGACAAACACGACCTCCATACTAGACCCCAGATGCTCCTCTATTTGGCAGACCCAGGAGAAAAGCCAAAGGAGTGCATTAGACACGTTTCCTTCTCCCTCTCAAACCTGGGCCATCCATTGCAAGGCTAACACGTCCACACCAGGCACTTTGGACAATTCTCTCTAAAAGCAGCACAGCATCGGCGACGGCCGGGTGTTTGCACCATCAATCTAGCAACCGAGCTCAGAACAGAACTGGCTGAGACTGGCAAATAGCCTGTGCCCAGGCCACACCATGCTCCCATCATTTCTACCACCTGGCAGCAGCTTTGGGAGATTTCCCAGTGACAGCCACGGGTGGGGATGGGGTTGGAGGCAAAAAGCACAGCTGAGGCAGTGGCTTTCACGCTGTTTGTGTGTGCAGAGAGGTCCCTTCTTCAGGGCTCTCGGTCTGGCACTGCATTAAAACAAAAGCAAGCTCCCTCCCCACTACATAAAGCTCCTCTGCACATGGCCCAGCGTGAAGCTCTGACCCAGAGGGAGACCCTGATGTTCTGCATCAGGACACTTCGCCAGCACTCGCTGAGGTTCAAAACCATTTGTTATTTCTGGGAGTGCCTCTTCTGCTTGACAGGGGCAGGGAGTTAGGCAATTCAGCAATAGCAAGGCCTCTGTGGGCTGTCAAAACCCCCCAGCTTGCCTGTCTGTTTAGGAGGATGGCATGAAATATTGATTATGCGCTGCACACGCCTGCCCTCTAGACGTTTATTAGTGCTCCCTTCCCCTGGTCACAGCAACAGCAAAGCAAAATCCTTTGCTCCTGAGCACATCCCTCTCACAGGCAGAAAGCTGGCACACACAAGAGGATATCAGTCCAGGTAGGGGAAAGCAAAGGCCTCACAATACATACGTCTGGATGCTGGAACGGGAAAAAGAAATACGACTGCTGGGGAGCATGCATGGTCACTGGACGGCTGACTGGACCTTCAGGCTAACAATCGCAGCAGGACCGAGGAAGTGCTGCTCACCCAGGGTGTTGACCCCAGCCAGCGTGCTCTTCGCCACGAGTATTGTCACTTGCATCATTTGCTTGTTCCTGCTTTGTACGGAGCCACGAGGAGGGGTGGCACGGTGTCCTGAGTTCTCCTGGCCAGGGTGGCGCAGCATTGGCCCCAGCTGCAAAAGAACCCGTGCATTTCACTGTTGTTGCATCCTGCTGTGCCTGGGGTTTGTTAACCAGCTATTTCTGCCACAGATGGCCCAGGTAGGAGATGTTGTGACCTGACTCTGCGTGGTGCTGAGTGTCCTTCTACTCCAAGGTTCAAGGGACCAGTGGCTGTTGAGATGCTTGACCAGATGCCTTCTGAGGCTTTCCTTTCCAACCATGCTGACGCTGCTTGACTGCGCCCTTTCAGAGTGCTTTTCAGAAACGGGTGTCACCCTCCCTCTGCACCTACAAACCAAAGTGATGTGACTCGAGTCATACAAGGATGTCAGTGGCAGAGAGAAACAAAGCCAAAGTCTCCTGTGATGCATCCTCCTTTTCCAACCACTGGACTCTTTGCACTTGTGCATATCCCCAGGTAAAACACCTGTGCTTTGGGGTGCCACTCTCACATTCACAGTCCTTCCTGCTAATCAGGGCTGGATCAGGATCCGCAGTGCAACCTGCTACCCCCCAAGCCTCTTTTCACAGAACCACTCTGAGGCACAGTGTGGATCCAGGCTGTGTGTCTGGTTGACTTGGGAGACTCTTGCTGTATTCAGAACGTCAGCACTGTCCAAAGAGGACTCCAGAGACAAAGGAAAGATGGATGTGCCAGTCCGAGGCTGAAGAAATCGAGGAGACCCTCCAAGTGTTAAAGTACAAGGAAGGAAGAGTGTGGATGTTGCTGCTGCAAAGCAGCCACAGGAAAAGATACTGGAAGCATCTGAAAATAAGATGCCATGTGATTGAATTCTCTCCTTCCAAGCACTGAGGCAGAAATATTACCTGGAGTGCCCATAAATCCATGCAATCCTCCTGTTTGGAAGTGCTGTACAGTACAAGGCACCCCCTCCATGTCCTGGGAGCTCTGGGCTTTGCCACAGAGGAAGGTATCCGCAGAGCTTGTTGGAAATCCCAGCTGGAGGGGGAAGTATTTATTTCTGCTGGGGTGTTTGCTGTGTGTTCCCGGCATTAATCTCGCAGGAAGTGGCAGGGAGACAAGGGCAGAGCCCATACAGAGGGGTTTGGCATATCTGCTGCATGCTGCTTCCCATCACTGTGGCTCCGGTCTTTGCTGCGTGGCATTTCATCTGTGTCTTCTCTGATCTTGCTGCCAACAATGGAAACCCAGAACTCAGGGCTAAGAGAAAAAAATGACAGGGAATGACAGCTGCCTGAAGGGACTGTCCCAAATCAATGCCACGTTCCCACCAACCCCTACTGCTGAAGACCCACTCTTCTGAGCACCCTGGAGGAGTCGGGGAAGGGGTAATTACAAAGACATAAAGTGGAGTCTATTTCTCATGGAGGAATCCCCCAAACTCCCACCTACAACTTTGAAAACTTCCCTCAGGCATCAGCTTGTTGCCTTATCCTTTGCAGGAAGAGGGCTGTGAACCAGCAATGAGGCATGGATCAAATGGCAACACTGATTTATTTCCAGTGCTGGGCAATTTACCCATAGACAGGTGTGATCCTTGTCCCAAGAAGCTTCCATCCAGATGCAAGCGGGATGTAGCACTCAGGGCTGACAAACCGTGAGGAGGAGACTGAAGAGGAAGGCTGAGGTTACAGCCATAACCCTGAAGGCTGGCTCTGCTTTGGCAACTGCATGTCTTGATGGCTCAGTTGCACTGTAAAATATACTGAGTCGGCTCTAACGAGCATCAAAGCAGAAAGGAGTTGTAGGGAAGGGATACTTATTATGGGGCAAGGAGCAGTGAGCCTTCATCCAGATCCCAAAGTGTTTCAGGACAGCAGTTTACCCAGCACCAAGTGACATGGAGCCCCTTCTGTGCTGGAACAGAGAACAGTACATGACAACTCAGGGCAGGAAGGAAGTGAAAAGAAATATGGTCATCATTTGAAGCAGGAGGGTGAGTTTACGCAGGCCAAATGTAATCAAGCAGGAGGGGAACACCTCCCTGCTCCCAGTGGAGATCACAATTGCATTCAATCTGAAATCTGGCCCTCTGAGGAGCAGCACCGGATCCCTGGCACACACCCCATGCGGGGCCGAGAATCAAACCCTTCTCTCATGAGGTTGGAAAGGACCATAGGGCTCGTGATCCTTAATCAAACGAAAGCCAGTGAAGGGTTAATGTTGTTCTGCTAAATACACCCTCACTCGCAAGCTGCTCTTTACAATGCCTCCCTTTTCCTTCACCTGCAGTCTTAGTCAGAAATTCACCGATTGACTTAGTTTAAAAAATGTGGCTTCTTGACTACAGAGACGTTACCCATAAAACAGTTCAAATTGTCCCTTGCATTTAAATGTCGCCTGTTGTATAAAACATCTTCTATCAATTTCACTCGAGGCTGACAAGCATTCTCATCCCCATCCTGTTAATAACATCAGCGCTCTTCACAGCGCCCTTAACCGCATTCCTAAGGGAAGTGAATACTCTTAAGGGCACCTTTTGTCATCATTAGTTTTCTCCAGCAGTTGAAGAAGGAAGGGATTGTACTGAGTAGTTCTCAAGCTCTTGTTGCATCACGTGTCATTAATGCATAGCCTCACTAGGTTCATTTCCCACCAGGTTGGCAGAAGGGCATCAATGCAAGCGAACTGTTATGTTGGGCATGAGAGTGAATATTTTCCTCTCCTGTTCTACCTTGGTGTCAGGGGGCAAAGCTACACGTGCAGTTAGCCTGGCTGAATAAACTCTGGTGCAGTTCATACTGGAGTTTATTGCTCCCTGGCACAGTGTTTATATGTGAGCCTGGGATCATAGCACATTGAGCCAGGGCGGCACAGCACCAGCTGGCACAGGACCCAGGGGGTCAGCCTGCCAGCCCAGGGCTGCTCCGCTATGGCTCACCGTGCTGTGGAGGGGCTGGCTGGGGCATGAGGGTGCAACGATGTGGGGCTACCTGGCAAGCAGCCTCTGCCATGCCCCAGCCAGCCCAGTCACCATCTACATGTGTGACAGTGTACATTACTCTGCTGTAGGATAGCACTTGTGTCTGGCAGTACTATCCTATAGCGGAGTAAATTAGTTTACTAATTGCACATGCAGATGGTGATGCTTTACTGTGGAGCTAATTGGGCAGCTCCGCAGTAGAGTGCACATGTAGGTGCACCTGGTGTGTGGTGAAGCACTGTCAATGGGGAACAAAGACACTTAGCGTGCACCATATCTGGAAGTGGGGGCTTCACCTATGCTCTGGCTCCCCCAAGGCATCTTTAACCACTGAGGAAGCATGGAGAGTGGAGGGGGGAATGGACTGGCACTGTGCAGAAGAAACCAGCCCACCTGAACCCAAAACGACCACCATGCTAGGCACTGCAGGCATGTGTTACCAGGGTATGTATGCACAGATAACCTCATCCCCATGCTCAGCTGGTGCTGTGTTGCTTATCCTGGAACAAGTTAAGTGAATTCAGGTAGAACCAGGTTGTGGAGACAGCACAGGAAAAACCACCCAAAGCCTGGTGTGCATGGGAGTACTGTTTCTCACCCCTGCCGTAACAATAATAACAGCTCACCATGTGCTTTGGCAAATGCCTCACATCCCACAGTGCTTTAATGGTCATACTGACTGCCGCTGCCATGCAGCCACCTCTGGGGTCCGTTCTGGTACCTGCTGGCCACGAGCTGAAGAGCTGACTGTAGCCACCTGAAAGTGAAAGGGGAAAACAAAACATACCTGGAGACCACACAGTTTAACAGCTCGAGTCTCAGAGAAAGTCCCAAATGGAGCCAGCATTGCCTGACAGCTTGAGCACTGGCTTGGGACTTGGGGTCCTGCTTTATATTTTATATTTCCAGGCCTCCCAAGAGCCTGTTGGATGACTTGTGGCAAGCCATGCCACTCCTCCCTGCACCAGGTTTCCCTGCCTGCAATACATACATAATACCTTGTGAAGTGCTTGGAAACTTACTACTGAAAACGGAGTTCTTAATCACTGCAAGAGACCAGGACGC